AAGAACCAGATCTTGGATTCATTGATTCTTTGTATTGTTTTCTTTGTTTTGATTTCATTAATTTCTGCCCTGATTTTTGTTATTTCTTCTTGTCTGCTGGGTTTGGGTTTCATTTGTTGTTGCTTTTCAAGTGTCTTGAGTTGCAATGTTAAGTCATTTATTTGTGCTCTTTCTGAGTTTTTAATGAAGGCACTCAAAGCTATAAAGTTCCCTTAAAGGGCTGCTTTTAGTGTGTCCCAGAAGTTTTGTCGTGTTGTATTGTCCTTTTCATTTAGCTCCAGGAATACTTTTATTTCTTTCTTAATTTCTTCTTTGACCCATTCAGCATTCAGGAGTGTGTTGTTTAATCTCCATGTGTTCATGTGGTTACTGGGGTTTCTTCCGATGTTGATTTCAAGCTTTATTGCATTGTGGTCTGAAGAATGCATGGAATTATTTCAATCTTTTTATAATTGTTGGGGTTTGTTTTGTGCCCCAGTATATGGTTGATTTTGGAGAAGGTTCCATAGGGCACTGAATAGAAAGCATATTCTTTGGTGCTTGGCTGAAATAGTCAGTAGATGTCTGTTAGGTCCATTTGGTATATGGTATTGTTTAATTCAGATGTCTCTCAGTTAATTCTCTGTCCTGTTGACCTATCTAATGGAGACAATGGGGTATTGAAGTCCCCTACTATTAATGAGTTGGGATTAATCTGGGTCTTAAAGTCCTGTAGTACTGGGTTTTTGTTGTTGTTGTTGTTGTTTTGTTTGTTGGTTTTTTGTTTTTTTTTTTTTTTGGCTTTTTGAGGCAGGGTCTCCCTGTAGCCCCAGCTGTGCTGGAACTCACTATGTAGACCAGGCTGGCCTTGAACTCACAGAGATCCACCTGCCTTTGCCTCCTGAGTGCTGGGATTAAAGGTGTGTGCCACCATGCCTGGCTGTACTGTTTTTTTATGAAGTTGGGCATGCCAGAATTTGGTGACTATATGTTCATGACTGTAGTGTCCTCTTGGTTTATTGTTCCTTTGTCCAGAATGAGGTGGCCCTCTTTATCTCTTCTGATTAGTTTTGAAGTCTATTTTGTCAGATATTAGAATTGCAATGCCTGCTTTTTTCTTAGTACCATTCACTTGGTATATTTTTTCCCATCCTTTCACTTTAAGGTAGTGCCTGTCCTTGAAAGTGAGATGAGTTTCTTGCATACAATAAAATGATGGGCTTTATTTATTAATTCATTCAACCAGTCTGTTTGACTGGGGGGTTCAGTCATTGATATTTAAAGTTATTAATGAAAGATGTGTATTGGATCCTGTCATTTTTATTTCTGTTTACATTCTTGATATAGCTGTACTTTTCACAGTTATACCTTCATTGAATTTCTTTCTGCAACCCCTTGGGTATAGTCATTCCTTTCTTCAGCTCTTATTCCTTTCTTCAGCTCTTCATATTGCTTCCAGAACTCTCCGAAGGGCTGGTTTTGTGGACATGAATTCCTTCAGCCTTTTTATGTCATGGAAGATTGTTCTTTCCCCTTCTACT